CCCTAAGCCCTAAAACCCCTAAACCGTCTCTGAGGCCCTCGACTCGAACCCTACCTTGGAGGCCCAGGGGACTTAGTAAGTCGGTTCATAGGCAGGGTTATAATTGGGGTGACTCCACTTAGGGTACTTATTATTTTCATATAAAAATTTATCAAAATTAAAATCAATATCTTATAACTCTACTTATAACCCACTTACTAAGTCCCCTGGGCCTCCAAGTACAGCCATCAAGAAAAAGACCGAAGTTCCACACTGATTCCGAAAGCCCTAAAACCTAAACCCCTAAAGCGAGCCAAAGATGAGCCCCATCAAAAACCGAGAGACCTAAGTACTAAGGCTCTAAACCTAAACACCCTGAATGAAGTCTGAACGCCGAAATTTGGAGAATGAAAAGCTGGGATGAAGGTAGGTGGGATTCAGGATCCCTTGCATAAGGACTCCTATCTTTATCTTGGGAGTACCCCAGCTACCAGAGCAGTTGGAGACATGAGTTTAGGAGACTTCTGAACGACACGGCCGGCAAGATGGGTTTCAATACGTTATCGTTTTTCAGGCACCCAAGGCGAACAACACAAAGCAACCAAGCAGAACAACACGTCACATTGAACACGCCGCCAGAAGACGCAACAAACCGACGACTTCCGGCCCCTATTATAGTTTCTCTTGCCTACCTCTCATGCAAGAACGTTAGAGAAGCCTAAACCCCATAAATCCTAGGCCCCAAACCCTAAGAATCGTTTCTCGGTAAGGCTGGGGAAAGCCGGGCCGCTTTCCCGAAGCCATGTTCGCTCCGAGAGCTGCAGGAGCAAATCGAAGCCCACTGCTCCTGCGGTGGGGGGGTGGGCTTCTTAGGGCGTTTGAGGGTTTAGGGTTGAAGGTTTGTGGGTTTACCAATGCTCCTGCGGGGCGAGGGTAGGGCTGAAACCCTACACCTCAACACCTAAAGACCGACATCGAGAAAAGGTCCCAAATCTTCACTAGTCCCTGGCTCAGGTGAAGCCACATTTCGAGAAGGCGTGTTTCAAATCTCAGCTGGCATTTCAAGGCCCTGACCCGGAAAAGAACACAGGCAGACCAAATGAAACCATTAAGCAAGTATGTCGAAGAAAGAGGTTACAACTGCACAGTTCCAGCCAACACCATAAAGCCAACACAACTCTTTAGTTCCATATATATATATATATATATGTATAGTTATATATATATATATACACATATGTATATAGATAGATAGATAGATAGATAGATAGATAGATAGATAGATGCTACATATATACTATATATATACAATATACTATACTATTATTATTATTATTATTATATATATATATATGTACATACATACATACATACATACATACATACATACATACATACATACATACATACATACATACATACGTATTGTTATTCCCCCGACCCACGTTGTGGAGGAGTTGCCAACCTGATGAGCTTGCAAGCCCTAATCACCAAAGCTCCAGACCCGGACCTCCAAGACTAGCTACAACGGTTTAGGGTTTACGGTTTAGGGGTTAGGGTTTAGGGTGTAGGGGTTTAGATTTTAGGGTTTAGGGCTTGGGGTTTAGGGTTAAGGCTATAGGTCTGAAGCTGAAAACACCAGAGAAACTCGATTGTAGCCTGCAAAAAGGGGCAGGGTATGACCCCTCTCGAGGTACTGCTACAGAAACCCTAAGCCACAACACCCCAAGCCTTCTAATCTCTTAGCCAGGGCTTTGGGTTTAGGGTTTAGGGGTTTGTGCAGGGTGTAGGGTTTCAGGGTTTGTACAGGGTTTAGGGTTTCGGGGAGGTTTAGGGTTTAGGGTTTAGTAAAGGCTTCAGTTTCACTCACGATCCCGAAACTGTGAGGTCGATAACCCCATGGCCTCCAAACCCTAAGATAGGGTTTAAGGTCTAGGGTTTACTTCTCAATTAGATTCGGGGCTTTGGGGTATGTTCTTGCCACGGTTATTTGCGAAGAGTAGTCATTCCGAGCCCTTTCTTATGCACGCCCTCCACACAAGAAGTTTGACGAAACACTGGCCCCTAAACTTGCGAGACCACATAGTTCAAATTGCAAAGCCCAGACCCAAGGCTAGAATTCCCGAAAACGTTGAACGTTAAGACCTGAGCCAGCAAACGACGACAAAGATCTTACAGCCCCTTGCTGTAAGCCCTGAACACAGACCCTAAACCCTGCTGGCCCTAATGTAGAGGCCTTAATAATCAGAATAGGGTTTGGGGGGATATGATACTATACTTATAGTAAGGAACCCCCCAAAATAGTATAGGTAATTATAAAGGCCCCACATCTCTCAAGTCCCACACCTCGTCGGCTGCAGCTGCAGCTGGCGACCAGGACCCAGGCCCGAAAGAAGGCCGCCGGTAGACTGGCGAACTCAAAGGGTTTCGCTTCAAGAAATCTGCGGTGTAGGGTTTAGGTTTAGGGTTTAGGGTTTAGGGTTTAGGGTGTGCAAGGGCTTGCTCAAGCATGTTACAGCTGACATGAAAACAACCCCTGTCACATACAAGGGTTGTTTTCCTGTTTGATAAGGGCTTTAGACAGGCTTGTTGCTGGTGCTATCAGCATGCTGCAGGGGCCTAAATAATGACCAATACTATTTGGGGGGCTCCGTATTACAATTTTTGTATGATGGCCCCAAATCCCTATTCTATTAAGGCCCCTATAGTAACCCCTAAACCCCCAAATCCTAAACCCTAAATCCTAACCTCTAAACCCCTAAACCCGAAATCCCACACCCTAAACCCCTAAACCCTAAACCCTAAATCCTAAACCCTAAACCCTAAACCCTAAACACTAAGTCCTAAACCCTAAACCCTAAACCCAAACCCCTAAACCCTAAATCCTAAACCCTAAATCCTCAACCCTAAACCCTAAACCCCCAAACCCTAAACCCGAACCCCTCAACCCTAAACCCTGAACCCTAAATCCTCAACCCCCAAACCCTAATCCCTAAATCCTCAACCCTAAACCCTAAACCCTAAATCCTAAACCCCCAAAAGCTAAACCCTGAGCCCCTGGAGCATCCCTTTCGCGAATCAAAAATTTCGGGCCTCGGCGCTCCGGACAGCCTTTGGAGCGGCTCAAGCGACTCCAAACACCAACGGGGCCACCTGAGATAGTTTAGGGTTTAGGGTTTAGGGTTTAGGATTTAGGGGTTTAGGGTGTGGGATTTAGGGTTTAGGGTTTAGGGTTTAGGGTTTAGGGTTCAGGGTTTAGGGTTTAGGGTTTAGGCCACCTGACATAGTTCTCTTCTAAGGGCTTTAGGAGGGACCCTAAATAGAGACCCTTATAGGTTATTGGGGTTAATACGGAGACTACCTGGCTGTATAAGGGGTATATAAGGACTATACAATGGTTATTTAAGGTAATGGGATTAAGGGTCCCTATTTGGGGTCCCTCCTAAAGTCCTTAGTTCTCTGGATCTAGGTAACCTAGGGGCCATTAATAGTTACCTATACTGTGTTTTTTTTTTTTTTTTGGGGGGGGTTCCTGATTATATTTATAATATAATATAGGGGCCTTAATAGTTAGAATAGGGTTTGCGGGGTATATGATACTAGAATTATGACAAGGAAACCCCAAGATAGTATACGTAATTATTTAAGCCCCTATATTAATCTAGGTTCGCCATCCAAAGCCATTGAAACACATTCGCAAACAAAATCCTCTTCGACTACAAAATGTCCCAAAGGCCTACCGAGGGATAGTGCTGCATAAGAAGGCATGCTATAAGCGGGTTACTATGAAGAGTACCTAGAACCTCCACTGTATAGTTGCTTTTTGGGTTACCTTAAGTAGGATCCTACATGTAACATAGGCAAAACCAAAAACAAAGGAACTACAATGGAGACAAATGGGGGTTCCCGAAAATAGGGGACCCTAATATAGTACCCTAAATAGTAGGATCCTTATTATAAGGACCCCCAAAATAAGGTACCCCTTATTTTCGGAAACTCCCAAATGGAGACTATAGGTAAACCCCAAACCCTGAATTCGGTAGTCTATGTCTATGACTCTCAGGCCGACTAGAAGGTTTACGTAAGCCCTCAAATGTAGGTAAAATAATGGCCCAAAACCTCTAAAAGGCTATTATTCTACATACTTTTGAGGGCTCTGGCCTGGTGGCATATGGTCTCTGCTTTAGAACTTTAGGTCAACCTTCCGGATCTCATGGAAGGTCTAGAGCGGGGGCTATGGAAGGCAGTTGCTAACCCTAAACCCTAAACCCTACGCCCTACGCCCTGAACTACGGTCCTCATTTGGAGTAGGAGACCTGTAACTCGAGATGAGACCTACAAAGTCCCCCGGCTGCCCAAGTCTTGAGATAGCCCTAAGCCCTAAACCCTAAACCCTAGTATAGCAACCTAAATAGTAGGATCTTTATTCTAAGGACCCCAAAGTAAGGTACCCCCAATGAGGTTACCTGCTTGACTATACCAGCTAGCAGGCAGGTTCAACGCTTGAGCAATGCGGGCCTGTGTCTTGCCAATGATTCTTGTTTAAGGGCACACTCTCGAAACATCAAAATTCGCAGAGATGGGCAAGCAAGTCGACAATATTTGGGTTTAGGGTTTAGGATTTAGCGGTTTATGGGGGTTTACAGGGGTTTATAGGGGCTTGAGGTTTTGAGTTTAGGGTTTAGGGTGTACACACTGGCCTCGTCAACACCACCGGCTTGGAGGCCACAGCGGCCAAGTTGGCGACGGCCTCCTTGGAGTTTTTTTACAGTGGCTCGGGGGCTTAAAACCCGCCAATCAAGACGTACGATGGGAGCCTGAATCGTTAGAATAGGGTTTATAGGGGTACCACAGATTACTATACTATAACTATAACAAGGACCCCCCCCCCAAAAAAAATAAAAAATAAAAAAAAAATATTAGGTAACTGCTCAAGCCTCTGTATCACAGTGCAGGGTGGCACTTAATGTAAGGGCCTTTATATGTAGAATAGGGTCTTGGGCTCCTTTATAGTATACTTATAATAAGGAATCTAAGGAATAATGTAGGTAATCACTTGGGCCCTTTAGAACGTTGCTTTTGGGGGTGAAGCTTGAACCCCTCAACCCTGAGCCCTAGCTGCACCAACAATCCCAACTCTGAATGTGTTCTAAACCCGATACCACTGTTAGGGTTTAGGGTTTAGGGTTTATACCCTAAACACTAAACCTTAAACCCTAAATGTAGGGTTCTTTAAACCCTAAACCCTAAACCCAAAAGAAGCCTTGCTCAGGGGATGGATTTCAAACTTGCTCGCATCGGGGAGCCCACAGCAAAGCCCCCGAAGTCAAGTGAAACTTAGGGCTTTGGGTTTAGTTTAGGGTTTAGGGTTTAGGGTTTAGGGTTTAGGGTTTAGGGTTTAGGGTTTAGGGCCATGAAGGCCAGAAGCTTCATCGAACAGAGATTCGGGTTCACCCTTTAGGGTTACCCTGAGGGTCCAAAGGGCGCAAGAATTACGTATCTGGATTTCGGATAGAAGAGTTAACTTGTGTGGCTGTGGGAGATCAAGTACTTGGACCCGCAGGGTTGGGACTCATGTCAGAGCATGAAGTTTCACCGGTATGCCCCAAAACCCCATTCTACTTGCTAAAGCCCCTGTTTTGTAGGAGTTAGGAGTAGGGGGATTCTTGGGGATATCGACCCTCTCAATAAAACCCCTTCTAAGAGAGCCATAAGCAAAGCGAAGAGGGGTCTCCTTTAAGGGGTCTCCCTAATACTACCTAGGATATCGGGACCCCCTAATCCGAAGACCGTATCGAAGAGCCCTCAATGCGCGCCTCTGCCGCACTCCGCTCCTGGCGCATCAGGCGCAAAGATAGGTTCCAAGACCTTTGTGCCAGAAGGTCTCGGGTTAAAGGTTTAGGGAGTTTAGGGGTGAGGGGTTGTAGGGCTTAGGGCTTTTAGGGTGTAGGGTTTAGGGTTGAAGGGCAACTGAAGGTTCAAGTTTTACCTCTAGTCTCCATTGCAGTTCTTTTTTGGTTTAACCCATTTTATACGTGGGATCCTACACGGTAACTCCTAGGAAGTACAGTGCAGACTAGAGGTTAGGGCTGAAGGGCAACTGAAGGTTTAATCTATACTGAACTTGGGACCCTAGCAACAATTAGAACTTCAGCTGTTTCTCAAAGGATTTTATATATATCCCTAGCCCTAAACCCTAAATTAAACCCTAAACCCTAAACCTTAAACCCTAAACCCTAAACCCTAAATCCGAAAGCCTAAACCCTAAACCCAAAACCCTAAACCCTAAACCCTAAACAATTCAGCTTCAGGGTTGAAGGTTCGAGGTGTGGGGTTTGAGATCTCGGACTCTGCTGCAGGGACCATGAGAAGGGCTCGGGGCTTCAGGGTTTAGGGTTTAGGGTTTAGGGTTTAGGGTTTAGGGTTTAGGGTTTAGGGTTTAGGGACTACCCTAGGGCTCAGGGCTTAGGAATTATTGGTTTAGGGTTTAGGGTTTAGGGTTTACTTGGAGAGTCGGGGGACTTAGTAAATGGTTATTTTATAGACATATAAGTACTATAACCCCAATTAGGGTCCCTTTTAGGGCACTTATAAGTCTACTTATTACCCACTTACTAAGTCTCCCGACCCTCCAAGTAGGGACTATGAGACCCGGCCATGAAACATATGGGTAGTTCTCTAAATTAGAGTCCCCTTTAGGGTCCTTTTTATAAGGGTGTCGTACTATATTGGGGATCTAAAAAAGGACCCTAATTTAGAAAACTACCCATACGCTGTCTTGGACAGGCCAGGAAGTACCTGAAAAAAACAAAGCTCCCCCGAAGCATGATTCTTAATGTTGAATCACATCAAACCTTCAACCCAATCTTACACCTCGGAAGCCCTACACCTCCAACACGCAGATCTTATAGGGTTTTGCGTTTGGGGTTTAGAGTTTTAGGGTTTAGGGCCTGCCCTGCACCCGTTCGCAGACGAATTGAACCTAACAAGTCCGAACCCCTGGTTTAAAGCGCAAATCACAGCTTCGAAAGACAGGCCGACTGCTAGTCCCCAAGCCCACACCCACTGGGTGCTTGCTAATATGCTTAATTTAAGTTACCATCTTAAGACAACCATAATGTATGATTTGCTATGGGTGGGGTATTATGGTCACTTGCATGAAGCTCCTTGGCAAGAACCCTAAAGCCTAAACCCGTAAACCCTAAACCCGTAAACCCTAAACCCTAAACCCTAAACCCTAAATCCCTAAACCCTAAATCCCAAACCCAACCCAGACCTTCGACGATAGTCGCCTGTATCTCAAGCTCAGGACCCTCATCCCTCTCAGCATCCTGAAACTCTGCTGGCAATCCGTTTTTATGGGTGGGCATGTGTGTGTGTATGTATATATATATATATATACATGTATATACACACATATATATATATATATATATACACATACATTTGTATATACACATGTATATGTAGGTGTTCATATTCGTTTAATTGGTCCAAAGGTGATACATATATATATATATACAAACATACATACACATGTACATCTTTGTACAATGCAACATAACTTATATGGGAAAATATACTATATATATATATATATTGTGTGTGTGATCGGTACACTGAGTCCCAAAACACTATGACCCTGTATCCCACATGCTTCTGGGCCGGGTGCCTGTACGTCCACCTTTTGAGATCGCGGTCCTGGCAGAATCTCTAAGGGTACCATAAGGCTACCCTTAGGGTTTCTTTTCAAGCGGTGTTCTTTATTATAAAGGTTCCTCCAAGGGATCCTTTAAGGGTGTCTTCTGTATGAAAGTTTCTGTAACATAAGGGTTCGATCGAGGGGTTCCTTAAAGGGCATCTTCGTTATACAGGGTTCTATAATGTAGGGGTTCCTTCGAATAGATCCTTGAAGGGTACCATAAGGGCTCCATGTACCCACATCGAATAGACTTTGGCCATAGCGCAGTCCCTAATCAAGGTATTTTAAGACCGAAGCATACACTAAGTCAGCAAGCCGAATGCCTGCAAGGTGACGTGTGCGCCACGTCCATACTCGTCGACTCCACACTTGCCACTGTAACGCTTCAGTCACAACATCCGGAAATGGCCCTCCACGAACCGTAGAACATCATCGACATCCGAAATGTGCTACTGTAACGTGCTCACAACGACACGACGAACATGTTGCTTTCTTGCTTCATAAGAAGCACTTTGTTGACGCTGGTACTCGTGGAACACTCGGCGATGAGGAGGAGCATGGCTTAGCAACGAAGACCCTAAACCCTAAACCCTAAACCGAAGACCCTAAACCCTAAACCCTAAGACCGCAAGCCTGCTGCTGCTCATAGTGACTCCAACAGTCATGATCACCGTCATGACAACTGACACTGCTTCTCTTCTTCTGTTACCCCCTCCAGGTACCTACTACTTAGGGCCCTAGGGGCTCTAGTACCCTATACAGTATAGGTACCTGGGGGGGGGGTCTATAGGGTTAATCATCGCTTTCAAGCGGTAGAAGCAAGGAAAAACCCAGAGCCTCAAGCGAAGAACGAAGAGCCTCAGCCCCGTCCTGAGATACGCCTCTCTGCGCACGGGGGGGCCGGGAAATCTTTGTGACTCCAAGATATCCTGAGCTCATGAGCTCCAAACGGCCAGAAACCACTCTAAGCTTTGCTAATCCCCGCCCCCACCCAAACAAAAATCTCCCCCGCGTGCAAGAGCTCCGAAATCATAACAACCCCAAACCCTAAACCCTCAAATCAAAAGCCCGTCTCTGAGGATGCTCCCGCCTGGCAAATGGTGGCGCATGAGAGCCCGGTGTTCGCCAGTACCGCATATCCTGAGAATCTTGGCCATCATCCAGTGGCTCCAAAACCCGAAACCAGAAAAACCCTACTCCTGCTTGGGAGCCCTGATATCCTGAATTCCGATCTATATGGGGTTTCGGGGTTAGGGCTTAGGGTTAGGGTGTCAGACTCAGACATGAACTCAATACCACAATCATCAGAGGAGCAAGAAGCAGTGGTTTCAACTGGTGACCTTTGAGTCTATACTACTTGCTGATAATCCTCATGACATGAGTATACGTAAATGCGTTTACTGACAGCTACATGGTACATAAATAACAGCAGTGCTGACCATAGCTTTAGGTATACTCGATAACACTTATCAGAAGATAGTGCGGACGGTTTTACACGGTTTGGAGGACAGAGACACCTGCTCCAAATGCACACCTCCCTGCAGGAAGTCGACTGGCTTTCGATCATCGTCTCGACAGGCGGAGGTGTTGATTGACAAGGGCTTTACATCATAAACCCAAACACGAAGCCCTGAACCCCTACTCTGGAGCCCGAAGCCTTAACCCCCCTATAGTTGGTGATAGCCACTGAGA